AATCGCGCGTTTGATTTCAGACCAAATTGCACTCCACTCAGTTCAATTACCATTATAAATTGATCTATTTTTATCTTCATGGCAATTCATGTGTGAAATTGATCATTAATCGTGATAGTAACTGCATTTTAGGGTCTAAGCTAGGTTTTATATAGTTGGAGGATTTTCTTTATTTTTCTAACTACAACATTACTAACTTGAATATTACTCTTGTGTCTTAGTTTTGATAACTCATGGCGATTATGGGATCTAGAACAATTAAAGGAAGTCTTACATCAGGTACTTATCGACTACATTTAATAAATACAGATGGAATTGTATATACATCTTACAGCGCAGTTTGCAAAAGTATGACAACCACATTCAATGTATTTGATTCTCCTTTGCACCTGCTTTTTGCTGCCAAAAGAGCTTTAACATACCTTATTCGGTAAAACCATCCAGCTTCGCATGGAAATGCATTAGACTTAGTTTAATGTACAGAATACATTAAGTGTGGTCATAGTGTTACGCATTGCGCTATAAAAGTGACACGTAATTTTTAGTTATACCGTCCTATTCCGTCTTATCTGCAGGAAGGACACAGTAGAGAGGTTTATAGCATAGCTTTCCAAACAGATGGATCATTGTCGGCAACTTGGTATGTATTTTGTGTTGTGCATAGGTAACCCAGTCTCTGTGCCCTGAGAAACAGCGAGGAAAAAAAACAGTGAAAAAGCTCTGATATTTCAATGTAAGTGAGTAAAAAAGTTCTTTCCCTCTAGGAAAACCTGGAGATAAAAAAATTGAGTCAAGAGATATTTTACGAAATTTACTGAAGGCTCTAGAAAAAAAGTTTAACAAACTCTGTGCACATGTGGAGCCAAGTTCAGGAATCAGGAGAGAAAACCTCGAATCAAGGGAGAGTGACTTCTTCATCTAATTATTATTTACAAAATTTACTGGAGGCCCTACATGTATAAGAAACTCTGCTCACATATGATACAAGTCTAGGGATCAAAGCTGAGACCTTAGAAGTAACAGACAAGTTACCAAGACCCTTCCAAGTTCCCTTCTTTATTAGATAACTGTATAATGTATATCTTGTGTATTTCAGTGGACTTGATGCACGTGGTCTGGTATGGGACTTGCGCACAGGACAGTGTGTCATGTCACTTGATGGTCATCTGCAGAAGGTCTTAGCTATTGATTTTGCACCTAATGGGTATGGATATTATTGTTTCATTATTATTATTATTATTATTATTTGTTTATCTTATATTATAAAATATTTGAGATATAATGCACGCGCTGATTGGCTGGCTACCGTGTTTATATCAGAGAACAGAGACACGCTCGCATGAAATCATTCAAAAATATTTTATAAAAGCGATATAAAACTGTGTCTATATAGTCGAGAAGTCAAAGAAACACTTGGCTACACATCGTGTTTCTCTACGACTTCTCTCTTGCTCTACAGCTCCCATTGTGTTTATATCACAGTATATAGACATGCGCGCTGTTTTATATCCCTTAATTATATTACCCTCCCGGCTTCCTCTCTGGACAAGCCAAGGGACACATGATGGTGGCTAACTTGTGGGCCACTGGATTTTTGATATTGATTTGTTCACTCATTCATTTGTTTGTTAATTTATTTATTTATTGCTTCTATGTTCTAGATATCAAATTGCAACAGGAAGTGAGGACCAAAAAGTAATGATATGGGATCTACGGCAACACAAATGTCTCTATACTATACCAGCACACACTAACCTTGTATCACATCTGAAATACCATGGTAAGGTTCAAGATATTAAAATTCAAGCACAATACCAAGGCTTTGCAGAATAAAATGTTCAAAATTGAAAAAAAAAAAAGAAAAAAAAAAGAATGGTCTTTAAAGGTACAGCTTCTAAATAATATGTTTTCTTGTTGTCTACAGACGATTACTTGCTATCAGCATCTTATGACAGTCACATAAAGGTAGGTTTTAAATAACGTTTTTGTATATACATTTGCAAAAATTGTGGTACAGGCTTCCGTTACTGTAATGTAACTGTATCCTATCCCAGTGAAACTGATTGATTGAGCGTTAATGTTGCACACTTCTATCAGTTCTACGTACAGTATATTGATATTGAAAGCCAAATGGATACCCTGTGTTCCCAGACATTAATTTTCAGTTTTGGACATGTTGGGAATTGTCAAAAGGGATTTATTGGGCAAGGGATATTGTCGCTGGATTGTATTGGTTTTGTATAATGTGGTTTAAAAGTAGTCAGAACCTCAGTCCACCCCCTCTCTCCTCTCTTTGTGACCCAATCCCCCCCCCCATTCAAAAGAAAGGCTCTTTCGTGGTGTTGCAGGGCACCTGAGCCATGAAGACAATAAAACAATAGCTGAGAACAATGAGTTTGCAGCTAAACAATACCCTGCAATAACAAGACCCTAACCCAGAATATAATACATCTTGCTATACCAAGAAAGACCCAAAAGAAAACATTAAAAATTAGTTATTTAGTCTTGTAAGAAGGATAAGGATAATCCAAGCTTAAATAATAGAAGTTTTTTCGCTCCATGCTCCTCTTTCAAAGCTTGGCTATTGGTTTCCACCAGAGCAATGGACCTTTGCCACACATTAGATAAATACTGAGATACGTTGTCGTTATAGGTGTGGTCTCACCCAGGATGGGCTCCTCTCAAGACACTAGCAGGACATGAACAAAAAGTCTCGTGCGTTGATCTATCTCCTGGTAAGCATTCTTTGCTTTTCCTCAGAACGGTATTCGGGAAATTGTTTGCAATTTTTGGGGTACCTGTGGTAACGCCACAGGCATCCCAAGCGAAATGCTTTACAATGACTTAAAATAAATTTCACATGGTTTGGGATACCTTTGAAATGGGGGTCAAAATTGCATGTCTTCGTCTTTTTGTCTTGTAGCGAGATTTTCCCCCTTTATTTCGTGTCTTAAATTACTATAATCCCGAAGTTTCTCCGATGGCTTACCGAAGATTAGACTTGTTTTCGGAAATTGCGGAAATGTTCGGAAACAGTTAGGCAGAACAGATGGTCTTTCTACATTTTTCATTTTTCAGTTCTTTCATCGAGGTAAGTATTCATTCTTTGGAACACCACTTGGAGAAATTTACAGATGTGTTTTTATTGATTTTCTTCGTAATATTGACATATTTGATTATTTGTTTTTTTAGATGGACAGTACATCGCGTCTACATCATTTGATCGCACCTTCAAACTCTGGAGCGCGGAATAATTTTGCGAGACGAAAGATCGACTTGACCCTGTCGCGATTCATGGTTCTGACTCCCCTTAGTTACCGTTGCTATGTCYCACTATCTCAAAATTAGATTAGGATCATGCCAAGCGTCGAACTTCACATGAGCCGAACCTAATGATATCAAAGAAGACCGCCTTGTAATCCATTGTTAGAGTTAGGTTCGGCTCATGTAAGTTCGACTTTTGACCTGTGTCTAAGATACTTTACTTGAGCCGCATCATAAACATAAACATAAACAACAGTTAAGCAAAGAAATGCTGCTCTAGGGAATGACACCTGCTCTCGGAAACGAGAAAACATTACGTCCAAGGTAAAGAGGGCAATTCCACAACTTTGTTTCACGGTCCAAGTAAAATCACGCTAATAAGGGGCAAGGAAATAAACCTTGGTCTTTCACACAACCCCAAACGGGAAAACTGTCTAGCATTTTACCATTCTTTTAAGAATTCACATCAAATTAAAATCACACCCTTTCTAACTTATTTTGTATTTTTCTTAAAATCCATCTTTACTTGCTCTTTTGTCACGTTTTATTGATTCGTTTATAAGTATTCCTGTTATGCTTAAATGACATTTACAAAAATAAAATTTAAAAAAAAAAAAATTGTTAAGAAAACGATCGAAAATGATTAAAGCGAGTTGAAAAGCAATAATTATTTAAGTGCCAATTCTCTATTGTTTTTTTTATTTTTTTATCTTTGGCTTTAAATTTCCTAATGATGCAAACACAAAGGAAAACAACATTCGAAAGTTCAGATAGCTTTTAAAGCGTGCCGGTTGTCACTAGCGACGCAAACGAGCAAGAGAAGGGAAGGTTTTGTTTTGCCTACGTTAGCTCGTGCTTATGCTTGTGTTACTAGTGACTGAATCAGGTTTAACGACTACTTTCTTGGAAGTTTAAATCATTTCAGCAGCCACACGCATGCACTTGATTCATTAGCTTTTTTTATGATGATTCATGATTTATAATTATATATAGCGCTCTTTTCCATATGGATTATGATCAAAGGTGCTTTCAGTGATTTGTAAATGAGAGGTGGTTTGTATGAGCTGGAGGCCCTGAGGGTGGTCACTGCCAGGGTTTCTTTACGCCCTCAGTGGTTCTTTTACATCCCTCATATTTTTGGTTTGTATAAGAACTAGGATTTTCTGTAACTTTTTGAACTATATTTTCACTCTTGTAACTAATTTCATATTTTTTGTGTGAATAAATTTAAACCTCGACAGATTTTGGAAGCGGAAAAAAAAGGATACAGTTTGGGCTTTATTAGGTCGCCTAATGCTTAATACTTGTGTCTCTGGGGAAACCAAACCTAGAGGAAATCAGCTTCCAATATTAAAAACAATTGAATCGATAGTGCGAACCATTCATTTAACAAAAAGCAAATTCTGATGATTAGCTTTTGTCTCGCAGCTTATCTTGCGTATCTTTTGAAGTCGCTCTTTGCGAGCGTCATTATATAACGAAGGGAAAATAAATGGGAAAGATGGAAGAAGAGAAGAATCGAATAGAAATAAGCCAGTTCATAGTTCAAGATTCGTTTCCAGTGCGCATGCGATTTTATCCCGAATTTCTCGCCTTCTTTTGTTTAAACCTTTTGTCGTTAATTAAACAAAAGAAGGTGAGAAATTCGGGATAAAATCGCATGCTCACTGCAAACGGTTCGTCACATCGTCTCTTCTCTTTATATATATTTGCTTCTTTTTACTTTTTTTCTTTCTTTCCATAAACCTATATGCACATCTAGCTACTTATCGAAGGGTGGATAGCGCTATCCGACGGATAAAGGCCTTATCAGTGGATTAGACGATGCGGCTGTTATCCAAAAACATTATTCGCCGGAATCAAGAGATCATAAACAAGAGAGGGAAACTACTCAATAACGCGCGCGAGATGTAAATTCTCAGTTGGGCCTGATTGGGTGAATTTTAGTAACCGGATACAGTTTAAAATTCGCCCTACCCTACTCCCGTGCGTCATCAACTTGTGCGCGGCGCTCTTTTCGTTTATGACAGTCTCCTTACTGGGGGCAGAGGGGGCCACTTATCTTTCATTGTTTACAAAAAGGTCTTGTCGCTCCGCCATCTTGTTTTATATTATTTACCGCTGTACATAATATGAGTAAGCTTGAGCATGTCAGATACCGCGCGCTGTGTGCCTGGCCTTAGCTTACAGGACTTACAGTGGAGGATTGCGAAAGATAAGTGCCCCTCTGCCCCCTGTGTCTCCGTTTATTGTATTGATCACTAAAAACGAAACGGTTTTTAAGAGCTCGCGCGCGCAAGTTGATGACGCACGGGAGTAGGGTAAGGCGAGATTTAAACTGCATCCGGTTACTAAGATTCGTCCAACCGGGAATTTTTCAATTGCGCGAGCGATACCAAGAAGTTTCCCTCTCTTATTTATGCTGTCTTGTTGGAATATAATTAGATTTATCTATCCACCCTTCTTACAACGTGGTCCAGAAAGGCAAAAATAGAAGGGGGAACAGAGCGTTTTCTTAATTGACGATTCGAGCTCGCACCTTTGAAAAAACCTCTCGAAATTCAGTCAAACTCGCAATTGAATCGCGTTTTTTTTTTGTCAACATCGGAATCGATCAAACTTCGTTCGGTAGTGATTCTTCAGTTATGGCTTTCAGCAATTCAAACTCTAGTCCTGTAATACCCATAACCTGACCATTGTATTAATGAAATTGCTAATTTACACCCTTTAATATTGACAAACAATGTTGCCAGAGCGGAGCTTTTGATCATGATTTTCGACTTAAAAAATTATAGCTTGGTATCATACGATTTAACGACGATAAAACCTAACTTTAGTAGCCCGAGTTGACGAGTTTTCAATCCCTTTAGGCAGCAGTTCATTGACTGTGTTATCTCTAACGCTTGTCGTAGACTAACATAAGTTTTAGACCACATGAGGGAAGGGATTAAATGGCTTGGTTAATTGTGGGCAAAACCACTGGAAACTTGCTTTAAATATTTATATTAACTTATATGTATTCTTGTGCCGTTTATATATATTTTTTCGGGGTTGGCAAATCTAGCTCTCCTCAGCCCTAGAGTTTCAGGATTTTCTGTTGGAACATTTCGCATAAAAATCTCGTATTACAGTATTAAAATTTCAAGCTGTTCCCACATAACGAAAAATGGATTTTTTAAAACTTCCTAGCTTCGCTTAAATAAACCTTCTTTCCAATCTTTTTGATCAAATTTTATTACGCTGGCTTCTATTCATTATTTTGAATTATGTGATGAAAAAGAAAAAATGTTTACAAAGAGATAAAATCGATATGAAAGTCAAACTAAATGTTGATAAAAACCGCTGTAGATTCTTGTTTTATTGATTCAAATAATCGATAAATTGATAGAAAATGAAAGTGTATGGATTTTATCTTTAAATCATTATTCTACATAGTGCTGAATGTTAGTTTAGTCTTGTTTTGACTTTAATAAAATATCCTAGAAATCTACCTATTTATTTCACCTTGCATAAGTCGAAACCAAAATACTTTTCCAACACTATTTTTTCGGAAAAAAATCGTTATTTTTTCCTAAAATAATCTCACGTCAACGACGCTAAACGAACATAGTAGTTTTAAGGTACAGAGAGCGAATAATTGTAATTTTTTTTCTAACTTTAATTTAGTCGAACACTGAGATAAGAAGCCATACTAAGATAATGCTTTTTTCTTTCTTTTTATCTACTTAATAAATGGTTTATCCTATTCTATAACTGTTGGATATTAATATAACTCTTAGGGGAAGCACAGTTTACTAGTTTCTTCGGAAATAATCCCTAAAGCGTTTGAGCTGGGCTCAGAATTTTTTACATACTTCAATCGTAAATAATTTTGTAGTCGATATTTATAGTTAATTCTTGGTTGATGAAAAGATTATTGAAGAATGTGAAACATCAGTTATCTTCGAGACCTAAATAAAACCTTTTAAGAAAATCTTTTACATAAATTCCCCTTTATGTTATTTATGCATTTATTTATTTATTTATTTATTTATTCCTATTTTGGTCAATTTACTCTAATTTTGTATTCTTTGATGAAGCCAAACGATTTTCTTAAAATCTTTAATTGAAAATCATTGAGGATATTTTTGTACCATTTTAAAAATAAAATTACACGCATAAAAAAATGTTATCACTACCAATTGGCGTCAAAAATTTCTGTGATAGAGTTATTAAAAAACCCGCAGCCTTTCCATCACTTTGACAAATTTGAATCGAATAACCAAAGTTAAAAGTCAGAAGTGTGTATATGTAAATTTTTTTTGAAAACTGTACACATTAGCATACAAATAATTATTTCTGGCTTAAATATGAATTTCAAATCAAACGTATTTCTTGCATGAATACATTTACCGAGAATAATTTTGAAGCGGATAAAAACACGAACGCGAAGCCGTTTTGTGGTCTCAAGACTTCTTCGAAACCAACTCTATTTTATTCTTTTATCTAAGGGCCATTTTACTGTTTTTTTTAACCACGTTTGTGTTTATTATTTCTTGGCATAAAAACCAGTTCGTTTTTCGTTCTCCGCTTTGGTAGAAAACATAACGTGATGATCCAGTAAAATCTTCGTCAAGTTTTCAGCTCCTTCAAACCTCTCAATTTGCTTTGTACTCGACTACATTAACAGCTACCTCAAGCCTGGAAACCAAAATCCTCAAGAGTTTGACTCTTTTCCTTCAACTGATCGTCTGTGAAGTATTTCAGACATTTGACATACATAAGGTAAGCAAAATCGCGACTCGGTAGGCTTTGCATCACAACAAAATAGTTCGACAAAATGTCGTAAATTAGCTGCACCATATAGTTTCTCTGATAGTTAGTAACCTAATGCATAAAAAGTTCATTTGTGTGGCAGTGTGGATAAAGTTTTTATGTGTTCTCCGTGGTAAGCTAATTTCGGAAGTGTGTCTCGTCAAATCGAGAGATAAGATTGAACCAAAAACAATATTTCTAAAATTGTTGGTTAATAAAATTTTTGAATAAAACCCGAATGGCGAGCATTTTCCGATAGCACGTTTAACTTCATTTCGTATTTTTATGCGAGATGAAGATCAAACAGGAGCTAAATTTGATCTCTGTAAACCTTTAAACCTTGTTTACAATATATTCTAAAGAAAAACATAAAGATATGATGTAACTGTTATTATTTAATGATTCTTCAAGCAAGAAGGGGAAGAAAAAATTCCGGCCTTAAAAATACGCTTCTTACTGTCTTTACTCCTTATTCAACTAAAAAGAGCAACCGATTTTGACGCATAATAGTATGCGGTTCAGTTTCTTAAGACTGCTTTTTGCTTCTACTTTTTACAAATGCATACATCCCGAACATCGCGGGATTTACGCGGGATTGGCTATTATTGTCACATTCAAATGTTTCGACTGATAACGCCTGAATTTTATTTCGATTATCACCGATGTTATCATCGTTTTCCCCCCAATGCTCTTTTATACTAGAAAAACACTAGCCAAAGTATTTAAATATTTGTTTAGCACTAATGAATATGTAAACGTCGTCGATATTCAACTATAAGAGCCAAACTGTTTAATCCCTTATTACATTATATTGATCCGAGTCTTATTTTTTTTATATAATGGCGTAACATACTGAAGTAAGCGCTAATTCTATTACAGATTTTCTTTTATGTTTTTCTCGACTTTTAGAAAATAGCTGTTATATTTTATTTCACTGGATGAAATGATATMATATAAAATGGCTACCACAGAAATGAGCCTATTATGTAACTGTGTCGATTGTCGCTTTTTCCCGTGTTTTTTGGTGCTTATTTTATCAACATATGACGTGAACTGAGAGCAGACTATGAATGGGAAAGTCAGACACTCAAAGGGCTTTCAAAATCAAGTGTTGTGATTGGATAGTGTGGGGGCTTTTCGTTTTTGATTGGTTGAGAATGAAGTCATTCAAATGTCATGCTACGTAAAACTTCGAGTTGATGATTGATCGAGTACGTCAATGAAATCGCTTCACCATGGTGGGTATAGTCGGTCATGTTTTGAAACATGAATGGAAGAATAACCTTTATTTTTAAAAAAACACACTCTTTTATCAAAAAAAAAAAGCTATTAAGCTATTTTCGTCTTTGCAACGCATTTAGACGAGAACGCCAATTCTATAGAAGTATACGGTGCGACATCCAAAATAATATTTATTTGACTGGAAATGGTGATGGTGCTGGTGCTGGTGYTGGTGYTRRTKSWA